TATCCTAGTTATGACTTGCTTGAGGCTAAACCTGATTTTGCCTCTAATTCTATGTCTGTACTCGTGTCTCCAAATGCATACAAATAATGGACGTTACTCAGCACATCTCCAGTATTTTGGGAGGCACTGCTGCCTATCAATAAGCTTTCTGCCTGCCTATTTCAAAACAACTTCTATCGCATTTTCAATGAAAAAGAATCGCATTCTTTCAAAAATAGGAATTTAAAAAAGAAGAATGCATACTCTCATTTTCCCAATGAAGCAAACGAGAAGAATCTACGTGCGGCCATAAAAGTATATATATTATCTTATCTCATTAATTATCATGGCCATGAAAACAATTTTCCTTTAATAAACACGGTTAGTTTTTATACATCGTTGTTCAAATTAAACCGAAAACCTTTCCTCCATTATCAATGAATTGGAGAGGCACCCGTTTTTAAGTATTGTCAGCTCGCTGCAATTACGTTACTGGTCTATTCTGTTTTTAGAATTCATAGTTATATTATACAAGGTCCATAATAGAGAAGGAGTCATCGATAATAGGAGTATTGACTTCTAGAGATAGCTATGGAGCATGGTCTCTATTATGGACTTGATTAGCAATGATATGATAACCTAGCTAGGAAATCGTGATTCGCGAGCTTTCTGTATCTGGCCACATTCAACAATCTTTGCGTCCGTAAACATGGCGCAAAATATAGGTCCTGAAACCAAGAAGCAGAATATCGTTTCGAATGCTTGCAATTAAAACGCGCGGCGCGAGGCCACGTCATTATATCGAAAGCGAAAACATCGATCGATGAAACTGAGATACCTGAGTAACCTACCATTGAAAGAGTCCCGGAGAACTGGGAACCCCATGTTGCCAATGTGCCCGTGGTGCCTGTATTGGCCGTTTATGTGGCGCTGCTGTAGCCTGCACTGGCTACTGCTGTGCAGGTGTTGAAGCCATTTAGAGCGTGTAAGCCCCTGGCGACACACTGCTTGACTGGTCCTCTGCTTGTAGTCTGTTACCAAACAAAAGCCCAATCAATGCAACCATATTTACATATATATAAAAGTCAAGATAATAATTGCAATATAAATAAATAATATAATATAATATATCTGAATTAATATATATATATATATATTATATATATATATATATATATATCAAGATACCAAAATATATATATATATATATATATCAAGAATACATAATAGAGATCTCTATTATGTACTCTTGATATATATGCCAACGACTGACAGATTAGACAGTTCAACTGAACTACGATGAATCACTAGCGGTGTGTTTCGCAAGAGAGCTATAGCTACTCGCACACGTGATTAGTAATTACCGTCATCAGGCCACTGCCCTGTGCCGTTCTCCTGTACACTGACGGCTAGCTGACCACTGTAGGCGTTGAATCCGGTCATGCCGCTGCCAGAGTTGACTGCCGGAGAGCGTGGCGGTGGTAAGGACAGCTGGTTGTGGTTCCTAGGCATGCTGTAAAGCGCCTCTGCCAAATCGGCTGCGCGCTTCAAAATGATCTCCTAGAAAAACGAAATTGGTATATGGTGAGGGAAGACGAGAGAATATGTGTGATGAGTACAGTCGCTGTAGTAAATTACACTATGCTTATTGTTTATACTGGTACGGTATTGCATGCCGTGTATTGTACAATTGCATTGCATCAATCGGATATTTATGATTAAAAATATAACATTTAAAAATTTGCGAAACATTACGTTTAAGTATTGAGCATCATATATACACACAACGTGTATTGAGTGAGTATACCACCGACATCTAATGTATCATTCAAGCATACCTTTGGTAGCCTTTCAGGGTCACCTGGATGCCTCGGTACAAGCTTCATCAGTCTCTGGAAACCATAGTCTATGGTTGGCTCTGTCAACGCTAGACAGAATAAAAACCAAATCATTACGACATGCACGTTTACTTTTATTACAATTATTTAATTGTAACTTTTATGCTTTATTATTATTATTATTATTATTATTATTATTATTATTATTCAATGGCGATATATATATATGTCGATATAAATGTCGATAATATATATACGTGAACATGACATTCAGTAATTATATATAAATTTTATTAAGATGATCACCTAAAACCTGATTAAGAAAGGTTGATGAGATAAGTATCAGTATGTGCGAGCGACTTACAGGTGTAGACAAATCTGCCTGGTGCATTTCTGCAGAATTGCTTAGATTTGTATGACAGGGTGACTTCAACAACACCTGGGATGTGCCTGGGAGGCGTTTGAACCCTAATGGCATGTGGTGTAATCAGCTGGAATAGGAATGGGCGTGAAGTTATGAGAATGCGCTCTACTGGCCGCAAATAAACGGCCAGCATCTGCAACTTTACACGGTACTTTGCGCACACGCTCTGCGTTTAAGTGATTGATATTAAAATATATCGTATGAGATTCATGTTCAGACAAACGTGTCGTCACAATATTAATGTCATCAAGAGACGAGAGCGAGAGAGAGAGAGAGAGAGAGAGAGTCAGTAGACAAGAGAAGACGAGAGAGAGAGAGAGAGAGAAGAGTGAGAGAGAGAGCGAGAGAGAGAGAGAGATGAGAGAGAGAGAGAAAAAGAGAGAGAGAGGTCGTGCCGACACCGTTTGCAGCTACTCAATAATTCGTGGTGCTATCGTCTGATGTTGCTGACGGGCATTAAAATGGATATAATCTTCTGTTTTAAGGCTCTCATTTCGCTCTTAGAGCGCCAAATGAAATTAATCACTGAAATGTTAATAAATATCCATTTTACATGTGACACGGAAGAAATTTAAGGAATTTATCGCGCTATTTTCTCTTGAATTCTGTGTCATTATTTACTATATCCTTAAATGTGTTGGATCGTAGAATTTATCTAGAAGATCTATTTGCCCTTTGTTTGCGCGTAAACCAATTAGGTTGGAAGCGCAGTAGCTGGATCGATCAGTGACATGTATTTTCCGGCAGCTTTTTTCGAACGGGTAGCCATTACGGTCTCACGTCAACAAATACACACCGCGCGTGCGTTTACGCGAAATTTTCTCGATCGTAGATTAGCGCGAGTAATTTTTATTATATAAAATACACATGGGCTATACGATATACAATTCGGGCGATGGCTGAATAAATACCCGACTTCCACAGACATGAGTTTTCAACGATTTTGAATTTCTTTGTTATTTTTGTATTATACATGGCGATGTATTAGAACTTTCTGTGATCATTTGGACACACGCCGGGTACTAATATAGGTCTAATAATTTAGTCCGCGCCTAAAAAGATCGGCCCATGTATCTACTAACAATTTATTCATGAATAGTGTTGCCTCGAATTCGCCTTGATCTGAGGTCACAGCTGTCTATAGCTCGCTTGACAATCTAGGCCTGTCACAGGGAATGGCTGCCTCTTCCTCACGCAGCACTAAGGCATCAATTCGCACTATGGATAACTAAGACTGCCTTATCTAATTATCAAGGCACGTAGCTAAATTAAATAAGTAGTTTTTTTTACTTCCGTTCTCAACACATTAATGGGCCTTTGTCTATAGGGATTGTTGTTTGACAGTTATGGCTCAGTAAACGTATGTTCGCTGTTTATCGAGGAGGCGGAAACAGTATATGACACGTCGCGTACTCGTATGTTGTGGCGCTAATTTCACGTGTTGACGCTTCGTGATGGATTTATGTGCCAATCTCTTATCTACTTCAGCCACACCGGCATCAAGGCAATCAGCCCAAGTGAGGGCTGGACTACAGGTGGCCCACTGTAATCATAATAGGCGACAACTTCTTCGATGGCTCCAGGTTGTTTTCGGCACGATGATAGTATGGAGTGAGGTAGGATCCGCAACCATTTACTTCTGCAAGTGCCCAACTAGACTGACTCTAACGATCTCTGTTAATGATCCCGATAGTTCAACGATTGCGCGTCTAGCGTGCGACATGTTTAGAGTGATTACGTCACCGTAAATAGTAAAAATAAAAATAAAATATTTCTACTTTTTCACTAAATAGCAAGCAAATTAATGTCAGGAAGCATAATATCAAATCGTCCAGGCTTTTTGATTTCTAACTAGTTGAGAAACAATTTATCAGGTAAGAATTGTGACGATACGTTTAGTCCGTTAGTTCTTACTTTGAATGTAAAAAAATGCAACAAACAATTTTACAAATTTTACCATAGAAAATTCGTGACGTAGTCATTTAACAAAATTATTATCGTCAATGTTTGAAAATTGATTACCAGCCCGGCCATTTATTAACACGATTATTCAGCTCGCATTACAGATGCGGCTTATGTATCCACCCTGCAACTATAAGATATAGGCGATAACAAATGTTAAAATATAATTCTCTGATGACATTAATATTGTGAGCGACACGTTTGTCTGACATTGAATCTCATACGATAATATTTTAATATCATCACTTTAACGCAGAGCGTGTGCGCAAAGTACCGTGTAAAGTTGCAGATGCTGGCGTTTATTTCGGCCAGTAGACGCGCATTCTCATAACTTCACGCCCATTCCTATTCCAGCTGATTACACCACATGCCATTAGGGTTCAAACGCCTCCAGGCACATCCCAGGTGTTGTTGAAGTCCCCTGTCATACAAATCTAAGCAATTCTGCAGAAATGCAGGCAGATTTGTCTACGCCTGTAAGTCGCTCGCACAAACTGATACTTATCTCATGCAACCTTTCTTAATGAGGTTTTAGGTGATCATCTTAATAAAATTGTATATATAATTACTGAATGTCATGTTCACGTATATATATTAATCGACATTTATATCGACATATATATATATCGCCATGTGAATAATAATAGATAATAATAATAATAATAATAATAAATAATAAGCATAAAAGTTATCAATTAATAATTGTAATAAAAGTAAACGTGCATGTCGTAATGATTGGTTTTTATTCTGTCTAGCGTTGACAGAGCCAACATAGACTATGGTTTCCAGAGACTGATGGAAGCTTTACCGAGGCATCCAGGTGACCCTGAAAGGCTACAAAGGTATGCTTGAATGATACATTAGATGTCGGTGGTATACTCACTCAATACACGTTGTGTGTATATATGATGCCTCATACTTAAACGTAATGTTTCGCAAATTTTTAAATGTTATATTTTTAATCATAAATATCCATTGATGCAATGCAATTGTGACAATACACGGCATCAATACGTACCAGTATAAACAATAAGCATAGTGTAATTTACTACAGCGACTGTACTCATCACACATATTCTCTCGTCTTCCTCACATATACAATATTTCGTTTTTCTAGGAGATCCATTTGAAGCGCGCAGCCGATTTGGCAGAGGCGCTTTACAGCAATGGCTAGGAACACAACCAGCTGTCCTTACCACGCCACGCTCTCCGGCAGTCAACTCTGGCAGCGGCATGACCGGATTCAACGCCTACAGTGGTCATCTAGCCGTCAGTGTACAGGAAGAACGGCACAGGGCAGTGGGCCTGATGACGGTAATTACTAATCACGTGTGCGAGTAGGCTATAGCTCTCTTGGCGAAACCACACCGCTAGTGATTCAATCGTAGTTCAGTTGAACTGTCTAATCTGTCAGTCGTTGGCATATATATCAAGAGTAACATAATAGAGATCTCTATTATGTATTCTTGATATATATATATATATATGATATATATATATATATATATATTAATAATTACAATATATATATATTTATTTATTTATATTGCAATTATTATCTTGACTTTTATATATATGTAAAATATGGTTGCATTGATTGCTTTTTTTGCAACAGACTACAACAGAGGACAGTCAAGCAGTGTGTCGCCAAGGGGCTACACGTCTAATGGCTCAACACCGCACAGCAGTCCAGTGGCAGGCTACAGCAGCGCCACATAAACGGCCAATGACAGCACACGGGCACATTGCGACATGGGGTTCCAGTTCTCCGGGACTCTTCAATGGTAGGTTTACTCAGTATCTCAGTTTCATCGATCGATGTTTTCGCTTTCGATATAAAATGACGTGGCCCTCGCGCCGCGCGTTTTAATTGCAAGCATTCGAACGATATTCTGCTTCTTGGTTTCAGGACCGCTATATTTTGCGCCATGTTTACGGACGCAAAGATTGTTGAATGTGGCAGATACAGAAAGCTACGCGGAATCAGCGATGTCTCTAGCTAGTTATCATATCATTGTAATCAGAGTCCATAATAGAGACCATGCTCCATAGACTATCTCTTAGAAGTCAATCTCTATTATCATAGACTTCCTTCTCTATTTGATGGACCTTGTATAATATAACTATGAATTCTAAAAACAGAATAGCCAGTAACGGTAATTGCAGCGAGCTAAAATACTTAAAACGGTGCCTCTCCAATTCATTGATAATGGCAGGAAAAGCGTTCGGGTAATTGAAAACGATGCTTATAAAAACTACCGTGTTTAATTAAAGGAAGAATGTGTTTTTCATGGCCATGATAATTAATGAATAGATAATATATATATTTTATGCCGCACGTATCTCTTCCTCGTTTGCTTCATTGGGAGAAATGAGAGTATGCATCTTCCTTTTTAAATTCTATTTTTGAAAGAATGCGATTCTTTTTCATTAAAAATGCGATAGAGAGTTGTTTGAATACGGCAGCAGAAAAGCTTATTGACTAGCAGGCAGTCTCGCCAAAATAACTGGAGATGTGCTGAGTAACCGTCCATTATTTGTTATGCCATTTGAGAGCAGGAGTACAGACATAGATTAGAGGAAAATCAGGTTTAGCCTCAAGCAGTCATAACTAGGATA